GCAGCAGCTCGCCTTAGAATGTCCAGGCAGCAGCAGCTTGCCTTAGAACGTCCAGGCAGCAGCAGCAGCAGCAGAGAGCCAGCTGTTATACACATGTATACATGTTACACGCTCGCGGAGGTATGCACTCTCTTTGAGTGCCCTCTGTCTAGTTCAATATTTATTGTAGTGGAATCATGGTAACGATACCAGTTTTTCTCATATTCAGTAGATTTTCGTATGACTAGAGAGTTATGTTCGATTCGCGAATTTCCGAGACAGTAACAGCACGTGCCTGAGGTGCGATTCGAGTTTCGAGATGCTCTCTTGCTTCTCCTTGTTCTCCTGCTGCATGGACAAGATGGCGACCTCTCCGCGACCTTGGATGTTTCGAAAGCTTTTGATCTGCTGTTCGCTGTCCTCCAGCCGCTGCTGGAGCGACTGTATGAGAGCGTGCTGGGACGTCTGCGTGTGACGCACCGATTCCAATTCCGCCAGGTGGCGCTTAACGGCGGCTTCCGTCTCTAGCAGTCGCGACTCCGCCTCTATAAGCTGGTCGGGGAAAACAATGCAAATGATTCACATGTACTGGTACCTCTGCTCTGTATGAGATTAAGTATGTATGGAAAATGTGTGACAATTACTATAGGCTGCCAACATTGCTTTGCAAGCATGATGAAAATTCTAGAATGATTCACATTTCTGCTCTTTACTGGTATGAGATTACGTATGCAGGGAAAATTTGTGATAATTACTATAGGCTGCCAACATTGCTTCATAAGTATATATGGTGAAAATTCTAAATGATGGGATTGTTGTGGAGCTGTTTTGATGGACTGTTGTTGCAGCAGCCATGCACAGTTGGGGCTTTTTACATGCTGAAACGCAGCTAGGGTGCTAACGTGGATGCCATGCGTAGTAGCAACACAACTTACCTCGCTTTGCAGTTTATCACATTTCATCTGAAGTGTCCCAGTCTCTGATCTAGAGAGCACGTCAACCGAGGGGTTGTAATATCCCGATATTGCAGGATCCTATATGGAGTTTGAAAACAGGATAATTTACTGCAGAGGGCCATGTCCTTAGAATATTGCTGCATTTAAGTTTTCGGCCGCAATTCAAGGTGTGAAGTTGATGGATTCTATACACGGGGACATGAGGGGTTGACCTCCACACGTAATATAGGTATTCTTTCACTTTGTGTTGAAGACATTGTCTTCTGTATAGAATTCATTACCCTTTATAGAGGTAACTATCATTTTGCGTGATAGTTAGATTCTTAAAAATTGTCACATGAAATCAAAAAAGTGTAGATCAATCAACAGTGGAGGATTGGGGGGTGATTCATAAATTAATAAATATCCAATATTAGAAAACTATAGAAAACTAGTGAAAACTAGAGTATGCATGCACCAGGGAATGTAAAAATAACGTATGGTATATCAGCACAGAATACTGTAGTATTCTGCAGGAACAGACTGCATCCTTGCATTTCCTACCTTTATATAACTGTTTCCAGGTGAAAAGCTTGAAATTAAAACGTGTTTTATACAGGGTTTTTTATGCTGTGTACAAAACATCAATATGCAAGTGTGGGCAATAATTTTTCTTTAGTTGCACTATTCGTGCTAAATCTCAATGGATCATCTAAATCAGGTGGATTAATGGCTGTTATACAATCAGCTGATTGAGTAAACAGGATACCCTAGTTGTGACGTTTGCATGTTATATATACTAACCTTGTAATCTGAGAGATCAGGTTATCTCTCTTATCAATCTCTTCCTTGTACATTTGGAGCTGATCATGAAGCTAGATCGAAAAGATACACCTAGTAAGTCTTACGTGTACAAAAAAATGGTAACAAAAACATAAAATTTAAATTTTATTATTGTACAAACTCGTGCAGCTACAAAATGTTGATGTAACATTATTTAGGTAATGATTATTTAATTAATTCTTATAGATGGCCCTTGCATTCAGGAGTCATATTTTTTTTCACGGCATGGATAGAACGACCCTGGACTTTAAATGTAAAGTTATATTTTACTCTGGCGTTAAGGAAAAGTTTTTTATATAAAATAATTGGCAATTAGATCAAGGAGTCCTTCGTGATTTCGTGACCTTTAAGCCAATATCAGCAGTGGATGGAGACATCTAAGTTACGATGTATATAAAAAAAATGCACCACTGAGTGATATAGACTGATAGTCATGTTACTGAAATTAAAAAAGAGCTTGCACGAGACGAAAAGTGAGAGAGACTGAGAAAATAGGGAGAGGGGGAGTGATGAATGAAATGAGAGAGGGAGGGAGGAAGGGGAAGAAAGATGATGAGAGAGAGTGGGAGGGAGGCGGGAGGTAAAAGCCAAGCCAGATAGAGAGAGGGACCAAAACCAAGATCCACAGAGAAAGCGAGAAAGAGAGAAAGAGAGAGGGAGAGCGTAAGAGTGAGAAATAGAGGAGAGCGAGAGCAAAAGCGAGAGAGAGACAGACAGACAGACAGAGAGAGAGAGAGAGAGAG